TGCCATAAAAATGCTTCTAGGGAATTTAGATAGTATCTAAAGCGTTGCTCTGCTTGCGTCATGCCTGAGCGTCACTTGAACTAATTTAACTAAAAGCGCAAATGGCGCTGAATTGTGCGCATCGTTGTCCTTGCAAATGTATTTATCCTTCCGCACTTGAATGTAAGTAAATAGAGCTCAGTAAGTCAGTCTCTGTCACTGTCTCTGTCTGTGTGCCGCTCGGTGCGCTTGTGTGACAATAACAATGCCATTATTCTTCGAGGCTTTTGGCACAATTTGAAATGGGGCTTTGCTGGCGGTTCGCCTGCGGCACTGTCTCTCTCACCGACTATCTGTTACTTACACTTAAGCGATTGCGGCCAGTTTCCACAGCCAGAGCAAATGAATTCCGACGGCGCGAAGCAATAAAAGCGCCTTACGCAAACCAACATCGAGCTGGCTGTAAGACAAGATCTGCATGCGCCATTGAAACAAGGGCTATCATTCGAAGGCGACTCTGGTCATTAAAGATGTGCAATGCCCAATCAAATTAGAACTCTCTGTCTCTGAAGGTATGGGTGCACGAGCAACTGTTTTATAGATAACATTAGAGATGGCTGTACAGCTATTAATGGAGTTGTGAATTTGCAAAGAACTGTTATACACCCATTACTCAAAAAGTCAATTCTTAAGCAACTGTGCTACGTGATTTTATGTGAGGTTTGGGCTATGATAAAACTGTTGATGATGATTTAATTTCAAATTCGTTGCATCAGTAAAACACTGTTATACAAAAGCTCAAACAAAACTGTTATACTGCTATAAGTAGCAGTGTTTATCATAGGAAGATAGCACAAAGTGTGATACAGCTACCTCAAATTTAGTAAGCTGTCAGTTAACTGTTATACAACGCTAACATATATTCGTAGCCAAGTGATAAGCATGTATAATCTAACACTGTTATATGGACTGTTATAAAAATTCAACTCAACGTTATATTATGGCTACCAGACTTGTCAATTTCCAGATGGTACTTCGACACCCTTAAGCCACATACAAATAACGCTTCAGATGGTTTAGCCAATTAGCTCTAATATAAATGAATGGCAGCCATATAATTTATGAATGTAAACAGAATGTTTATGTCCATTTCGAAAGCTAAATATACGCCTAGTATCCACAACAATTTACAGTAACTCAGGGCCAACGTCAACTAAGGGCCATCATTTGGATTTCAGCTGGCCAAAATGGCCCGAAATAGTTAAAATTTTATGTATGAAAGGCCACGGCAAAGAATTATTTAAAAACTTTCCAAAAAGTGTTGCTCATACGCCATGTGGCCCTAATATATGGAGGCCATTAAAACTGCAAAAATTATATGTTGGCCGGCAAGCACAAATGCTGCTGCCTACAATAATCCTACAGCCGAGGCCAATTGTTGCCACCTCAACAAACTATTTGGCAAAAAGGATTTGGCTTAAATGACAAACGACGAAAAGTGCTCGGGCGTACATAGAAGATGCACTCGACTCGTTTTTTACGGGGGCAGCTGATATTAGTCGGCTTCTAAGGAAATTCTATACCTAAGACTTTATAGAAATTCCAATTTACACTTTTAAGTTGATTCTGAATTTTTCGGATTTGAAGCAAATTATGTTTAAGATTTTCAGCTTTTACCTGAGCATTGAAATCCGATCAAAAGCAAACTCTTATTTAAAGCAAGCAATTCAGGGCTGCGTGACACGATAGGGGTCCATCCCTAGCAGAGCATAAAGCACACGTTGGACCTGCATATGATGTCCTGCTGTTTGTTTGTTTGTTTGCTTTTTTTCTTCTTTTTTTTTTTATTTGTTCGCCTGTTTATATTGTTAATAAAACATTTTATTTTACGCCAAATGATTCTCATTTGTTGGACGCATGTCCTCGTTTGTCTGTCTGTCCGTCTGTCCGCCTCTCTGTCTGAATGCTCTTATCGTCTGTCGCTGATGTCGGTCTCCGTGTCAGCTGCATTTAATTTGCGGGCCCACGTTGCCTGTAAAAACGCGTCGTTTGCGACTGAAATAATAAAACTCAGGGGCGAGAACAGCAAATCGAAGACGAAATACTCTTACATACACACGAGTTGCCTGCATGTGATGGTTTATTGTGTTGAGAGTATGATAGATAGCTTGAATGGCAGCCAGAAACGCCCTAGACAGATAGCTTTAAAGTGAGGTCAATCAATATATGCCTAAGTATTCTATGTACATGGCTCCGAAGATTAATAAGAGATCCTGAGAGAATCGAATCGGGACTCGACTAGGCGAATGTCCTGCAAGTGAAAGACTGATTTGGATTTTGTTTAAATATTACTATATCATTTTCTGCTATACCTATTCATTATATAAACACCCGAGACAAATTATGGGCTATGTACAATGCGTATCTCGTATATCGTGTCACATAATGTGCTGCTTTACGCCTTTAATGACGCAGCTGGCATGGCCTTCGGGCAGTGTATTAAGAAGATTGGCAGCTCTTGGCACTCTTGGAATATATATTCGCTGCGTGCGCGTCAGTCAAATGTTACTTAACACCCACACCAATACACACACACACACACACACACACGGCCACATAAAGGATTAACGGTAAACACAAGAAATTACAATTTTAAGCATATGAATTAAACGAAAAGCAGCAGAAAACACAAACACAAGCGAATGGCAGGCAGCAAGAATAAAGTTGCAGCTCTTTAAGGCCGGCCGCTCTTTAAAAAGCCATCAGGAACAGTTGCGCCCGGTGGGAGGAGTATGGGCCAGGATGTTGGTCGCCCACTGTGCCGTGCTGCGTATGCCAAAAGCTTCCGTTGGTTATCCAGAAAACTGTTCTCCGATGACAGCAATTGCCCCGGCCAGGGCCAAGCGTCAACGCTTCATTGGATTTTAGGCAATCATAAGTAGGACGTCTGCTGCTATCTCACCCGCCTCGTCTCTCTCGCTCTCTCTCTGTCTCCCGCTGGCTATCTCTTTCGCTCTATCTGTGTGTCTGTCGGACTGTAACTGCCACCGCGTCTGGCCGCATCGCTGCCCTTTTTGGCTAAAAGGGAAATGCTTCACAAAAAAAAAAAAAAAAAAAAAAAATGTAGAGTGCCTGCGGCGAACGAGGCAACAAGGCTGCAGTAGACCAGGAGCAGGAGCTGGAGCCGAAGCCGGAGCAGGGCATGTGGCATGCGGCATGTGGTATGTGGCAGGGGGAGCGGCATGGGACACCGGACCACCGGCAAGCAATGTTGGCGTTAGCACAGCTTTCAACTGCAGACTATGCCCAAATTTAACCTGACCTCTGTGAGCGCTCAGCTAGAACAGCCCAACCGTTGCCTTTGATAAGCCGTGGAGCTCTATAGATTTCAATGCAGCATCTATGTAATATTGATGAACGCTCCAATTTGTATTCAGCTAGCATGCAAGCCAATATTCACTAAATTTTTATCCCGGTTAGTCTGCATCTAAGTTAGTTACGAGATTTACAAATTTACCAGAAAACATGAAAGCATATTTAAACAGATCTATAAATCTTGCTTAGATATGAAAGTTCATTAAAAAGCTTTTACAAGTCTCAATAGAGCCAAAGCAGCTACGCATACTTTAATAGATTTAAAGCTTACTCAGAACAGAATGCAAGCTCATTAAACCTTAAGCTCCAAAAGACGTTATTCGGTAGCGCGAACTTACTTAAAATTTAGCTTCATTAAAGCTCATTTAGAGTGTGTGCTAACTGTAAAAAAAAAAAATAGATCAAAAAGATTTCTTCTACAAAGGCAAACGAATTCTCAATAAGTTTAAATTTTGTTTGTGGTTTTTTATTTTGTATTTTTATTTGTTGTTTTGATGTAATTTTATTCATATTGAATTATTTATTTGGTATATATTTATACTATATACGCATATCTTACTATTTGCTGCTAGAATTCAGAAAAAATTGTTCGCGTTTCCATTGACATCGACATTAGCAAACTCTCATTATCCACCTTTGTTTGATGCTTTTCCTTTTGGTTTTCCTTTTTGCGTTTTTCTTTGTGAGCACATAATTTTCTAGTTCAAGTGTAATTTGAAGTGCTTTGGAATTGGGTTTTTCATTCAATTTGTTTGTGTAATGTGATTGGAGGGGAGGAGGACGGGCGGGCGTGGGAGTGGGAGTGGTTGAAGCATTTGGTTTCGCTTCATATTTCTTACTTTTAGGTTCATTAATCTTAATCTAAGGTATGCCTCCATCTGCTGCTGCTGCTGCTGCTGCTGCTCCACACTCGATAATAGCCATGCCTTGCCATCTTACAATATGCGTATGTGTGTATATATGTAGATACGTATTCACTATTTGGACACAAAAAAAATATATATATGTATATGTATAGACATCGACTTTTACAACGTGTGTGTAAATTGTGTATTCATATTTGATGAGGCCTGTTTCGCAATTCGCCATTCGCAATTCGTCTATGGGCGCATAATACTTATGTTTAATACTTGAATGTTTATGACTCCCGTTCAATTATATTATAATGTGCACAGATCATAAATATATGTTTATTTGCTTTGCATTTGCCGGAGATCAAGTGGAGTATATTGGCTTTTGGGATTGATCATTGAATTATTGAAACTGTGAAAGATGTGTGGGAATACTTTTTACTGGGGATGACCACATTTGCATGCCAGCTGAGAATAAACTGATTCTTACATGAAGAAGAGTTGTACAAAGGGTGACCATATTTTCATCTAGGGAAGAGCGTAGTAAATTGAAATTGGAAGTCGTCTCGCCCGCGTTAGGCGCATTTTAATTGTGCACATCCTTGCAGATTGAAGATCTAGGGTGACCATAGTTGTGAAATAAAGGAGGATGCAGCATAGAAGCTTAGTCAATGTCCCGAGCTAGGGTGAACAGATTCGGCGTGAAGACAAAGTTCATTTTTTCCTAGGGCGCCCAAATTTGAAATTTGCATAAACTTAAGTTTGTTAAAATATTCAAATATATTTGCGTGTCGCGGCAAATTGTAACTGTAATTCAATATCTCTTAATATTTATCTCTCTATAGAGAGCTAGCTGTTTGAATATGCGAACGAGTATTGAGCAGTCGGTCGTAACCGATCTGCAAAATCTACTTTTATTTTATGTGGTTTTCGCATATGCGTGTGCCTGTGTGTGTGTGTGTGTGTCTGTTGTTTTCTGTCTCTCTTGTTGAGGAAACGAAATTTGACGAAACAGACGCTCCTAATGGCTGTATGTATCTTACGTGTATATTACGAGTAGCTCTGTAAACATTTATAGTAGTATTTATCATACTTTAGATTTGGCCTTTGGTATGCAACCACCTTTCCCACTGCGCACCTGAATTCGATATTTTTACTGTTCTATTGCCATTGCTGTGTATTACATATATGTATGTGTATATATATTTGTGTGTGTGTGTGTGTGATGTTACTTTGTGGTTTGTGCTGCAAAGAATTGACATTTTTGATGCTCCCCATTGAAAGCTGCTGCTGTCACCTCTCCCTCTCCCTCTCACTCACTCTCTCTCTCTCTCTCTATCTATGTCTGTCCCGCTCTTATTCACTGTCCAACTATCTATCTTTCTCTGTCAAGTTCTTGAGTTTTCTTTCGGCTGCTTTGCGTTTCCGCTTGGCGTTGACTAACAGCTTGAGTTTCCGCTTTGGAGCTGGGGCGGGGGGTGGAAGGCGGACATAGCCAAGTTTTACAAACTTTGGCCAGAATGTGGATATGCTAGCTGCTGCTGCTGCTGCTGCTGTTGTTGTTGTTGTTGTTGTTGTTGCTGCTGCTGCTGTTGAGTAGGTGCTTTTGGTGGCTTTGAATCAGGCAACGACGTCAACTGAACTGATTCAATTTGCCAGCAATGCAGCTTTGATTTCTCGTCTCTTGAATACCAATTATATAGCAGAGGGTTAGGGGGTTGTTCTGGTACAAAGTGGCGGAGGTGTGGCTGTGGGTGTGTGACAGTGTCGGAAATGTGTGCTAACTGTAAAAGTCGCTTCAATTACAGTTGCTGCTGGGTGTTTAGCCCAAGATCTTCTTGAAATAGCTAACGGTTTCCGGTTTAGTTAGCGAGCGTCGTCGATTTGGCTTGAATGGCGCCTCAGTTTCCTCCTGCAGGAAGTTGCGCCGTGTTGTGGCGCTCGTTAGCTCCAGCTCATCCACATCCGCGCTCTCATGCTCCGGCTCCGATTCAGGATGAGCCCCGGCAATAGCAACACTTTCACTTTCCAAATGCAACTTTGCGGCGACCTTTACAGCTGTTGTTGCTGCTGTTGTTGCTGCTGGTGTTGCTGTTGCTGTGGTTGCATTTGAACTGTTTTCATTAGCTGTTGGCTGTTTTGTTGCGGTTATTTCTTGCAGCTGTGGCGCCTCCGTAGCGGGCTCTTTGCTAGCTGCCTTTGCTGCTGTCGGCTCTGTTGTTTTCGTCGTTGGCTTGATGGTTGTTGTTGCTGTTGATGCTGCTGCGGTTGCTGTTGCCCCGGCTGCGCTAGCTGTTGACGTCACGATTGCAACTGGCGCTGCTGTTGCTGTTGTTGCTGCTGCAGCCGTAACAACATGTTGGCGACTCTTTTGCTCGACTGTTGCTGCTGTTGCTGTTGGCAGGGTTGTTGTTGATGCCGCAGCAGTTGTAGTTGTTGCTGGTGTTGCAGTTGCCGTGGCTAGTGGACCATTGTTAACATGCTCCCAATGCTCGGCATGCTCCCCATGCTTCGCTGGCGGCACATAGTGCGACTTGACCAACAGCATTGGCGGTATGAAGTGCGAATTGTCGGCCGTTTCCTTGACATGCGGATGGGACAACTCATCGCGTGCCTGCTGCACCGGATGAATGGGATGTGCGATGCCCACCGTTGTCGACGTGCTCAATGGTATTGCTGTCGTCATTGCCGTTGCCGTTGCCGTTGCTGTTGCGGCTGGTATTGGTGTTGCAGTTGCTGTTGGTGTTGCTGCTGCTGCTGGGATGTTGGTGGTGTCAGTGTTGCTACTATATAAATTGGGCGTGTTACCGGTGGCGGCAACAACTGTTGTATCTGTATCCGTTTCCATTTCCGTTGCCGTTGTTGTTGCTGCTGTTGCTGTTGCTGCTGCTGCTGCTCCCGTTGTTGTTATCATAATGTTTTCATGGGCTGTTGTTGCTGGTGCTTTTCTTGTTGTAGTTACAGTTGCAGCTGCTGTTGTTGTTGTTGTTGTAGGTGCTGCGGTAGTTGTTGTTGCCAATGTTGTTGTTGCTACTGTTGATGTTGCTGCCATTGTAGTTGCTGCCGTTGTGGTAGTTGCTGCTGCTGTTGTCGGAGCTACCGTTGTAGTTGTTGATGCTGCTGCCACTGTAGACGCCGCCGTTGGTGCTGCTGTTGTGGTTGTAGTTGTAGTTGTTGTTGTCGGTGCTGCTGCTGCTGCCGCTGTAGGCGCTAGAGTTGATGTCGCCAGCTGCTTGACAGTTGTTGCCGACTCGCTGCCTGCTGCTGCTGTTGCTGCTGTGGCTGCTGTTGCTGCTGCAGCAGCGGCTGTTGCCTCCACAATGGTCGGCATGGTCCTCAGGTCCTGTGGCAATACCTTCTTCTTGTGTGGCAGCGGCTCGAATATCTCGTTGGAGACATCGCTGTCGCTGACATCGTCCGGCAGCTGCTCCTCGCTCAGGGCCGGCTGGTCGCCCATCATCATGTCCAGGTGGGCGAGGGGCTTGGGCGTTGCCTTGCGCAGCTGCATTTGATACTGGGCCCGCAGCTTCTTGTCGTACTCCTCGTTGATGTTCACCTTCTTGGCCGACTTCTTCACGGGCATTGGCACCTGGTCGGGTATATTGTAGTGCACCACGGGCACCGGCTCGTCGGCCATCATGAGGCGGTCCAGGCTGAAGCGTTCGGCTGGCGCGACGGTGTCCACCTCGATCTTCACACCTGCTGCTGCATAGCGGGGCACCAGGGGCAGCAGCTCGATGTCGTTGTTCTCGTTGTTATCGGTCCGGATGCTCTTGATGATCTGCAGAGACTTGAAGTGCGAGTTTGTGATGTCGTTGATCCGCTGCGCCTCCAAGCGCTCCTTGGGACAGATCAGCTCGCGTACGGCCCGCTCGCGATCCTGCAAAGGGAGTTACGAAAAAAAAGAAACAAAGGCCGACAGGCAGATAGGCAAGGAGTTTGGCACATGGTTCAGCTACCTCCACACTCTCATCCACTCACCTCCTTGCCCTTGCAGGTGTGCCGCAGTAGCCCCTCCTCCTGGCAGTTCCTAATGAGCTCAATGCTGGCCGTGTCCGCCATGTACTGCATAGTCAAATTGGGCATCTCCTTCAGAATGCAGGCGTCTGCCCAGCTGGGCACTGTGCGGCACAAGAGTAGAAGGCTTTAGTCCCATCCAGCCCATACGCACGCAGACTTACCTGGCATTTCGCAGAGGAACGAGGCTGTCTCGGGTCCGCCGCAGCGCAGCGCGTGCCATCGATAGTCGCGTATGGGATCGATGACAGCGCAGAGCGGAGCATCCATTAGCGGCAAGGACTCGGCCCAGTAGCCAGTATCCGCCACCAGAGGGCGCGAGTTGCTATAGATATTTAGATATATGTATATGTATATGACTAGGTATATAACTATGCATACAGCTAAAGCTAAGCTTAAGCAGAGCTCACATCTTCTTCTAGGAGCTACATATGTACAATTGAAGCTAAGCTCCGAGTGAATAATAATTAAATCATAATACAAAGCTCATGTTAATTTATAACTATTCACATATTAAATATCAAATGGTTATCGATATAATAAAAATGCCTGTAAAACTGTTATTATTTGTATTATTTGAATTGTTCAAAGCAAATGTTGAATAAATATTAAGTTCTAGAGTAAGCTAATATTCAGTTGGCCTCCATGTTAAAGTTGCTCGTAAATTAAACAATGGCCCATTGCAGAGAACTAACAGAGAAGCTGTTGACAGCCTGTTACAGTGACAGTAACAGAATGTTGCGCATTCACATGTAGCTGCGGCAATTAACATAATGAATAGATGATTAATTCGAATCTGAGTTCGGCTCCCCTCCTGAGGCACAACTTTTGGCCTAATAAGTTCTCCAATAACTTCCTATTTGACTCGCAGCTAACGAGTTGAAATTGAAACATCCAAGTATTAAAGAGCTCTCACATCGGAGCGCACAGTCCAAAAATAAACATATCAACACGAACAGAACAATTACAATACTATGTAGCTATTGTTGTTATTGAAGTAGTTGCTGTTGTACTTACGACCACATGAAACGATCCGAGTTCTGCGGCCGCATGAGTCCAATCCAAACGATGTCGTTCACATCCAATTCCCTTAGCAGGTCGCGAGTTGCATCAAATTGAAAACTGTTGTCGACTGCCAGCAAAACACAAAAAAAAAAAAAAAAAAAAAAAAAAAAAAAAAAAAAAAAAAAAAACAAAAAAAA